GGTGGATCACTTGAGGTCAGGAGTTGGAGACCAGCCTGGCCAACATGGCAAAACCCCATCTCTACTAAAAATACAAAGATTAGCTGGGCATGGTGTCGGGTGCCTGTAATCCCAGCCACTCTGGAGGCGGAGGCAGGAGAGTTGCTTGAACCCGGGAAGCAGAGATTGCAGTGAGTAGAGATCGTGCCATCGCACGCCAGCCTGGGGGACAGAGCAAAACTCTGTCTCCAAAAAGAAGAAGATACAAATCTACTCATCCCACAAATGTGTACTGAGGCTGGGTACTGTGCGTGTTTCCTGGCGGCTGTAACTGATGACCACACAGCTGGTGTTGTGAAACCGCATGCTCACCGCCTTCCGGTTCTGAGAACAAGCATCCTACAGGGCCTCACCGGGCTAAAGTCAAGGCGTGGGCAGGGCTGGCTCCTTCTGCAGGCTCAGGGTAGGCGCCATCTCCGTGCTTTTTCCAGCTTCCGGAGGCCCCTCTTCCACCTTCAAATCACTCCTCTCCTGTCTGGATGCTACCTCCCTCTCAGAAGGCCCCTGTGACGACATTGGGCCCCCTGGGTAAGCAGAACCCTCTCCCCATCTCTGGGTCCTTGCCACAGTCGTATCTGCCATGTCTCTCCTGCCACGTGAGGGACGTGTCCATACACAGGCCAAGGGCGTCGGGAAGGGTGTGTGTCTTGGGGCTGTTCTTCTGCCGACCACAGGGGTCAGTGCCATGGGGGTCAGTCTACCCCGGGAACCTGCATCTTCATCCACCTTGAAGCCTGAGAGAGAGGCCGGGAGCTGGACACAGAGCTGGGCCTGAGCCAAACCCATCATTCCTCCCTAGAACCTGCCCCAAGCCTGGTGGGTCTTGGGGATCAGGGGAGTCAGGCCAGATGATGCTGAGTTGGATTGGAAGGGCAGCACCACCAGGGGCCTTTCAGAGCTGGGATGCAGGCTGGGCACGGTGGTTCACGCCTGTAACCCCAGCAGTTTGGGAGGCCGAGGCGGGTGGGTCACCTGAGGTCAGGAGTTCCAGACCAACCTGACCAACATGGTGAAACCCCGTCTCTGCTAATAATACAAAAATCAGCCAGGTGTGGTGGCAGGCGCCAGTAATCCCAGTTACTTGGGAGGCTGAGGCAGGAGAATTGCTTGAACCCAGGAGGCAGCAGTTACAATGAGCCAAGATTATGCCACTGCACTCCAGCCTGGATGGCTCACAGCACCTAGGCCAGGCACCGGGACCCAGGCTGCCGACCAGCCTGACGCGGGGGTCCCTGCTCCACCTGTTCGAGCGTGTTGTTTGTACCGCCAGCCGAGCCAGGGAGGTGGGAGGATCTCCTGGCCCCAGGCTGGGTCTTGAGGCTCTGGAAATGCTGACTGCCTGGGAGTCAGGTCTGGGGGGGTCGTGGCTGATCTCTGATCCCAGGGAAAGGTGTGGAGTGCTGACACAGATGCCTCAGACCCACCTGTGGCAGCCCTGGGATTTTCCCAGAATGTTCTAGAAGGCCATAAACAGTGGGGATAGCTGGAAGAAATCCCTGAAGTGAATGGAGATCTGTCAGGCAAGCCGGCCTGTGGGCAGTGCCTGTTCTCGCCACTTGCAGTGGCCTCTCTGGAGCCTTTGTCCTTGCCCACCCTCCTCCCCTCACCCTGCCCAGGCCCCTGTTCTCCTCCGACATCTGGGACTCCTCCTTTCCTTCCTCTGTGGTGTTGATAAGGATGGAAGAGGTGAAGAGGGTGAGCAGTGCCTGGGAACGCACTTCACAGAGGAGCTCGCTCTCAGGATGGAGGGTCAGCACCCGAGAGTAAGCAACCCTTTTATTTGTTTTTATTTTTAAAAAGACGAGGTTGGCCAGGCATGCTTGCTCACACCTGTAATCCCAGCACTTTGGGAGGCCGAGGCAGGTGGATCACAGGGTCAAGAGATCGAGACCATCCCGGTCAACATGGTGAAACCCCATCTCTACTAAAAATACAAAAAAATTAGATGGGCATGGTGGCGCACACCTGTAATCCCAGCTACTCAGGAGGCTGAGGCAGGAGAATTGCTTGAACCCAGGAGGCGGAGGTTGTGGTGAGCCGAGATCGTGCCACTGCCCTTCAGCCTGGGTAACAAGAGCGAAACTCTGTCTCACGCTGGGCGCAGTGGCTCATGCCTGTAATCCCAGCACTTTGGGAGGCCGAGGAGGGCGGATCACGAGGTCAAGAGATCAAGACTGTCCTGGCCAACATGGTGAAACCCTGTCTCTACTAAAAATACAAAAATTAGCTGGGCATAGTGGCACGTGCCTGTAGTCCCAGCTACTCGGGAGGCTGAGGCAGGAGAATTGCTTGAACCCGGGAGGCAGAGGTTGCAGTGAGCCAAGGTCTCGCCATTGCATTCCAGCCTGGCTTTCGGCAATGGAGCAAGACTCTGTCTCAAAAAAAAAAACAAAAACAAAAAAAACTCCGTCTCAAAAAAAAAAAAAAAAAGACAAGGTTTCACCATGTTGGCCAGGCTGATCTTGAACCCCTGACCTCAGCTGATCCACCCACCTGAGCCTCACAAAGTGCTGAGATTACAGGTGTGAGCAACCGCGCCCGGCCTAATTTTTGTATTTTCAGTAGGGACGGGTTTCACCATGTTGGTCGGACCAGTCTTGAACTCCTGATCTCAAGTGATCCACGCATCTCTGGAGGAGAAAAAAACAGTGTCAAGAAAATCCAAAGACAGTCCTGGCAGCGGCTGCTGTGGGGCCTGCCAGGGCCTTCCCTGTGGCTCCATGAAAGTGTTCCTGTTCACCAGCTGAGGATGTGCAAGGATGGAACGAGACCTCAGAGGCCGCCCCTGGGGGCCGCAGAGTAGAGTCAAAGTTTAGTGCAGGCCATGGGTTTGAGTCAGACGTCTGTAAGGCCATTTGCAACCTGGGATTCCAGGTCAGCAGGAGAAAGAGAGAGGGTAGGCCGGGCGCGGTGGCTCTCGCCTGTAATCCCAGCACTTTGGGAGGCCGAGGCGGGTGGATCACCTGAGGTCGGGAGTTCGAGACCAGCCTGACCAACATGGAGAAACACCATCTGTACTAAAAATACCAGAAATTAGCTGGGCATGGTGGCGCATGCTTGTAATCCCGGCTACTCGGGAGGCTTAGGCAGGAGAATCGCTTGAACTGGGGAGGGCGAGGTTGTGGTGAGCCAAGATCAAACTCAGCCCACCCTGGGCAACAAGAGCAAAACTCCCTCTCCAAAAAAAAAAAAGAGATAGGGTAAGGTGATAGTCAAGGTCTCAGGTTCTAGAAAATTCTCTGGCCATGACTTCCACACTGAGATGGCTCAGGTCCAGATGTCACAAGGGACGCAATGTTCCTGTCTTGGCAGTGGCCTGGCAACCACCCCAGGTTCAGATCCTACAACGTGATTGCACCCAGAACGCTTAGCATACAGCAGCTCTGTTCAGCGCCTCAGGCCGCAGCAGGCTGGGCTGGGGTGGCTTCCTGCGGTAAGTGTTTCCTCCTGGACCCATCCGTTAATTTCCCCGTGTTTTCCCTACTCACTCATCACCTGGTTTCTGCTGCCTCTTGCTTGGAAGGCGCCAGTCACACAGCGGCAGCTTATCACTCACTTTATCAGTTTTCAGCCCCACCCGGCCTGTGCAGAGCCTCAGAGAGCAGCTCCGTAGGAGGGCGTTCGGCGTGTGCTCACTCCCCAGGTGAGGCTGGGGACATTCAGGCGTGCTGTGAATGCCATGGTTTGGATTCAAGATATTGCAAAAGGTTTCAATGTTCCCTATGAGAACATGTAAAGATACTGTCATGTTTGATGGAACCGAGAGAGCATTCAGTATCACGGTACACTGACAAATCATTCTCTTTATTGGACTGAGGCCTTGGACGTATCTGATCCAGGATGCAAGGGCCGCTCCAGCACAGCTGGGGTGCAGTTGGCCTGGTGGAAAAGCTGGCAAATGAATCCATGATAAATCCATTACATCCTTGAAAGGGGAGCCTGGGAAGGGACGCAATGTTTCCGTGTGCACCCGGACCTCCAGGGAGAAGGTCCAGGCAGACAAGCCTTGGCCTCAGAGACTGTGCTCCCGAAGGAGCTGCATTCAGGGTTGTTGTGAGTGATCAGGCCCCATCCATTTTTTTTTTTTTTAAAGACAGGGTCTCACTCTGTCACGCAGGCTGGGGTACAGTGGCGAAATCTCGGCTCACTGCAACCTTTGCCTCAAAGGTTCAAGCAATTCTCAGGGCTCAGGCTCCCGAGTAGCTGGGATTACAGGCATGCGCCACCACACCCGGAAGATATTTGTATTTTTAGTAGAATGTTTGTATTTTTAGTAGAAATGGGGTTTCCCCATGTTGCCCAGGCTGGTCTGCAACTCCTGGCCTCAAGTGATTCACCTAGCTTGGCCTCCTGAAGTACTGGGATTAAGGTGTGAGCCACGGCACCCAGCCTGACCTTTTAATTGCCATTCTGATTTGTTTAAGATGGTATCTCACTGTGGTTTTGATTTGCATTTCTTTAATGATCAGTGATACCTTTTTTTCATGTTGGTCGGCTGTATATGTCTTTTTTTTTTTTTTAAGACAGGCTTTCACCATGCTGGTCAGGCTGGTCTTACAACTCCCGACCTCAGGTGATCCGCCCGTCTTGGCCTCCAAAGTGCTTGGATTACAGGCGTGAGCCACCGCACCCGGCCATATATGTCTTCTTTTGAAAAGTGTGTTCAGGCCGGGTGCGGTGGCTCACGCCTGTAATCCAAGCACTTTGGGAGGCTGAGGTGGGTGGACTGCCTGCACTCGGGAGTGCCAGACCATCCTGGCGACACGGTGAAACCGCAGCTCTACTAAAATACAAAAAAAAAATAGCCAGGTGTGGTGGCGTGCGCTCGGAAGTCCCAGCTACCCGGGAGGGCGAGGAAGGAGCATCGCTTGAACCCGGGAGGCGGAGGTTGCAGTGAGCCGAGATCGCGCCACTGCCCTCCAGCCAGGGCGACAGAGTGAGACTCCATCTCAAACCAACCAACCAAACAAACAAAACCAAGAAAGTGTGTTCATGTACTTTGGCCACTTTTAAATGGGGTTGTTTTTTTCTTGTGTATTGAAGTTCCTCATAGATGCTGGATTTTAGACCTTTGTCGGATGCATACTTTGCAAATATTTTCTCCCATTCTGTAGGTTGTCTTTTTACTCTGTTGATAGTTTCTTTCGCTGTGCAGAACCCTCCTGTGGAGCTGTTCTCCGAGCCCTCCACACAGGCCCCCCCGGCGGCGCTGCCTGGCCCCGAGCTGAGAACTCATCTGGCTGAGAAAGGGATGGATGAACGGCCGGCCGCTGTGTGATTTGAGCCTTCAAGGCAAGAGGCAGCGGAAACCGGGTGATGAGTGAGTTGGGAAAACGTGGGGCAAACGAAAGAACGGGTTCAGGAGGAGGCGGTTCCTGCAGGAGCTGAGTTCACTTACATCCCATGCGTCAGTTTTTGTTTTTGTTGCAATTGCTTTTGGTGGCATCTTCATGAAATCTTTGCCTGTTCCCGTGTCCGGCGTGGTATTGCCTAGGTCGTCTTCTAGGGTTTTGATAGTTTTGGGTTTTACTTTAGGGTCTCAATCTCTCTTTTTTTTTATTTTTTGAGTTGGAATCTCACTCTGTCGCCCAGACTGGAGTGCAGTGGCGCAATCATTGCTCACTGCAGCCTTTGCCTCCTGGGCTCAAGCAATTCTCCTGCCTCAGCCTCCCAAGTAGCTGAGACTACAGGTGTGTGCTACCATGCCCAGCTAATTTTTGGATTTTTAGCTGTGACAGGGTTTCACCATGTTGGCCAGGCTGGTCTCGAACTGCTGTCCACGGGTAATCCTCCCTCCTTGGCCTCCAAAGTGCTGGGATCACAGGCGTGAGCCACCAGGCCTGGCCTCCTTGTCTTGTTTTCTAATCAGCACCCAGCACTAGAGCTGCCCAAGCTCATGACAGGTGTGGGATGAATGGACCTGACTTCCTCCAGCAGCAGAAGAGGCTCTGCTGTCACCGGGGGTCCAGCCGCTGGGGCTGCTATGGGGTGCAGGCCCCCGCATCGCACCCATCCCTCTGTGCTGCTGGTCCCAGCCCCAGGTGCCCAACCCCTCAGCAGAATCACTTCCCCATTTGGGCAGCTTTGCCTCTAAGGGCTCGGAGTATTGGGGAATTTGGCTGCTTTGCTGTGGCCGGTGAAGCCCAGGGTGCTGGCTAAGAGAAGGTGGGCCTCCAGGGGAGTCTGGGGGCAGTCTCACAGGCAGCCACACGCAGCCAGAGTCACCAGCACACCTGCTTCGAGGACCCCGCGTGGGAGGAGACTGTCTTCTCTCTTCTGGCTTTTCTGAGGGAGGGGTGTGGGGCAGGGCTGTCCCTTTCATGCATGGCTGCCCCTTTCACGCATGACTGCTGGGCTCACTCTGCCCACCTCTGCGACTGGGGCCTGAGCCTTCCAGCCAGCTTCAAGGGCTCTCTTGTCCAGGGACTTCTAGTGGGGCCAAGGACAGGAGGCCCGCTGGAGAAAGGGCTCAGCCTGTACACTGCTGTCCGTGGCCTGGTTTGGGAGTGGCTGCACTTTTCTACAGCTGTGTGGATGGGGTTTGCCCTAGAATCTGCTCTAGTCCTCACCCCTGTATCTGTGAGTGTGACCCTGTTGGGAAACAGTGTGTTTGTGGATGTGATTATCTAAGATGAGTCACACTTACCAAAGGGCTGGCCCTAAACCCAATGACAGGTGTCCTTATAAGAAGGGAGAAACTGGCTGGGCACTGTGGCTCATGCCTGTAATCCCAGCACTTTGGGAGGGTGAGATAGGTGGATCACGAGGTCAGGAGTTCGCGACCAGTCTGACCAATATGGCAAAACTCCGTCTCTACTAAAAATAAAAAATTAGCTGGGCGTGGTGGCGGGTGCCTGTAATCTCAGCTATTCAGGAGGCTGAGGCAGGAGAATCACTTGAACCTGGGAGGCAGAGGTTGCAGTGAGCCATGATGCTGGGGGACAGAGTGAGACTCCATCTCAAAAAAAGAAAAGAAGGGAGAAATTTGGACACACAGAGGAGAGGCTGTGTGAAGAGGATGGCAGGGACTGGAGTGAAGCCAGGCACCAAGATTCCGGGGCCACCAGGAGCCGGAAGAGGAGGGGGGGAGCCTCCCCCGCAGCTTCTGGTGGGAGCGAGGTCCTGTTGACTTTGGGATTCCAGGCTTGAGTCCTCCAGGACTGAGGGGTACTCAGTGTGTGTTGTTAAAGCCGCCTGGTTTGTAGAACCTAATTATAGGAGCTGGGGACACGAATGCCACAGCTATGCCTGGGCTGGTGAGAATCACTGCCTGGCAACCCTGCAAGGGGATCCGATGCCCTGGGTGTTGGTGGTGCCTCTGCACCTCCCGGCTCCCAGAGGGCTGTCCTCAGATCTGCGGGGACCCCACAGCGTGCAGAGGCCCAGCAGTGTGCTGACCGATTCCACGATGGGCAGAGATGGACAGTAGAGATGCTGCGGAAGCCACAGGTGTCAGGAAGGTGTGGACAGGCCTGAGCCAGTTGTGCCGGCTTTGGGTCCTGGCCTCAGCACTCTGTGACCCTGGGGCAAGCTCCAGTGGACTCAGTGGTACAGAAAAGGACAATGGTGATGTTTCTCGTAGAGTCTCTGGGCTCTACGGGCCCCAGCAGTGCCGTGATGAGGGGGCTGGATGCTGAAGTGTGGTCAGAAGTGACGAAGTACCTGCTGCTCCCCCGGGGATGTGAGAGGGGCAGGAGGAAGCTGTGGGCAAACCCTTCTGGGGGCCCCACACAGGATGCCTCTACAGGGCATCTCTGCATCGGCCATGCCTGTGACAGCACTCCCCCCACCTCACTACCCCACCACCGCCCCCCTCCGGCCTAAGGCTGTGCAGCCAGGGGTCTAGGCAGCGCTGCTTCAGTTCCTACGGCCACTGCAACAGATGGCCACAGGCTGTTGGCTTGAATATTGATCCTCTCATAGTGCTGGAGGACAGAGGTTCAAACTCAAGGCTGGGCACGGTGGTTCACACCTGTCATCCCAGCACAGTGGGAGCCTGAGGTGGGCAGATCACTTGAGGCTAGGAGTTCTAGACCTGCCTGGCCAACATAGTGAAACCCTGTCTCTACTAAAAACACAAAAATTATCCAGGCGTGGTGGTGGGTGCCTGTAGTCCCAGCTACTCAGGAGGCTGAGGCAGGAGAATTGCCTGAACCCAGGAGGCGGAGGTTGCGGTGAGCCGAGATCGCGCCATTGCATTCCAGCCTGGGTAACAAGAGTGAAACTCCGTCTCAAAAAAAATGAAAAAAAAAGATGGGGTCACACTGGAACAGGGTGTACCCCAAATCCAATGGCTGCTGTCCTATTAGGAAGAAAAGACACAGAGACACATGCAGAGGAGAGGCCACAGGAGACACAGAGACACGCGCAGAGGGGGGGCCACAGGAGACACAGAGACACAAGCAGAGGGGAGGCCATGGGGGAGACACAGAGACACGCGCAGAGGAGAGGCCACAGGAGACACCCAGACACATGCAGAGGGGAGGCCATGGGGGAGACACAGAGACACATGCAGAGGAGAGGCCACAGGAGGAGACACAGACACAGAGACACATGCAGAGAGGACATGAGAGACACAGAGACACGCTCAGAGGAGAGGCTACAGAAGACACAGAGACATGTGCAGAGGAGAGGCCACGGTGGGAGACACAGAACTCGCCATTGCCCTCCAGCCTGGGTGACAAAGCGAGGCTCCTTCTCAAAAAAAAAAAACAACAGATTCCTGGCTGGCTGCGGTGGCTCATGCCTGTAATCCCAGCAGTTTTAGAGGCCAAGGTACACCCCACCGATTTCACATTTCAAAAAGAAAAATTTTTGACTTCCTTTTGAAAAAAATGGAAGATTTAGTCATCTGGGGCTGACCATCCCAGAGCGTGGAAGCGGCTGGTGCTGCAGCCCGTTGCCCCTTGGTTGCGGCGTGCCCCTGCATTTAACCACCTGCCCACTTCACTCATCTCTCTCCTGGGTCTGGCTGGGCCCTGTAGCTCTTTGTGACTTCATCTTCTGGCCTGTATAAAAACCATCCACAAGAAGACAACAGTCCAGATGAGGCCAGCGCGCTGCAGAGCCCACGTAGCTGTGTAATGTGGCTCAGGCCCGAGCACCTCTCCTCAGCCTGGAGCTCACAGGGAAAAGCAGACTGGAGGTGTAAAGGTCCCAGAGACAACGATGGGACGTGAGATGGTTTCCACGTTCAGGACAGTCTGCCGGGCGGGACAAGGATTGCAGGTGTCACCACTGCCCTGTTTGCGCCACTGGCATGAAGCAGGAAAGGTCACAAAACAAACCTCTCCAACACCGAACTGGGAAGGAAGGGGTGATTTATTCGGCTGGGGGCAGCAGTGGCCTGCTTGCCTAACAGCGGAGCTCCCCAGCAAAGAAAATTCTTGACTTTTTAAAAGTTTATAACTCTAGAAATTACATGTGAAAGGGTCCTGGGTTTACA